TTTCTCTCTGCCAGAGTGACCTGTCAAAGTCCTACCCATCCTGCCCATCTTTCAGTGGGTAGCCAGAGGTCAAATACAAAACATGCAAGGCACCTAGTCCATGATGCAGTTCCTGAATTCATCCCTCCTGCTTCTCCTGTAGTATTTTCTAGCTCTTAGAAAGCATATAGTCAGTCTACTTTATAGACAGTAAAATTGTGTTTGTGTGTGCATCAGTCTCTCCCCTCTATTTGTAATTCCTAAAGTCCAGGGACTATAGCTTATCTGTAATTTCTAGCCTAAGGTTTTCACCTAATAAGTTCTCAATAAATGTTTATCGAGTTAAATTTCACTTCACCACCTTGCTATCCAGAACAACCCTTTTCGCAGGTAAAAGAAACCCACATCAAACTTAGTCAAGCAGAGGAGTTGGCTCATGCTCTTAAAGATAGATGGACATATATTGACACATGTTCTTAAACAGTTCGGAGTCAGCCTTGAGGTTTGGGTGACTCAACTGACTGTTTCAGGGATAAGATCTACAATTCCCAGTTGAATTTCAGGGCAAATTTTCACTCAACCAACTTGGGTCCTATCCATATCCTTGAAAGAATCATATTGGCCAGGCCTGAGTCATTTGCTGTGCAAGAACTCATGGGGATCACCCCATTCAAACCAGAAGGACTGAGCATTGTCCAAAAGTGATTGGTTCTCCCTCCAGACTGCCAGTCAGGCAAAACCAACAAATATTCACAACAGCCCCACCCCCCACCCCCGCCCCCAACACAAGATCAGGAAGAAAAGTCTAACAATGAGACTATAAACCTATGAAATAATCCATTTCAGGTAAGTGTTGGACTGCTAACCACAGGTTGGTGGTTCAAACCCAAAAGAGAAAGATGAGACTCTCTGGTCCTGTAAAGATATACCACCTTGAAAAGCCTGTGTGGAGTCCTTATGAGTTGGAATCAACTCCCGGGCAGTGGGCTTGGTTTGGACTTAGGTGGTAGAAAATAGCGAGCTAGACAACAATGGATTAGGATTATTTAGTAGGGTAGAAATGTGCTAAATTTCTTTCCCCCTCACACCCTCTAAGATTCAAAGAATAGCTACTGTGAAGAAAGGAGCAAGAGCAGGAGAAGAGTTGATGGACTCATGGGCTCAGCTGCCTTTCTCTTTTTTCCTTTTTTTCCAGCGAGCAGATGTGGCCGTGGCCCCTCTAACCATCACCTTGGTCCGAGAAGAGGTCATAGACTTCTCCAAGCCATTTATGAGTTTGGGAATTTCCATCATGATAAAAAAACCACAGAAGTCCAAGCCCGGGGTCTTCTCCTTCCTTGATCCCTTGGCTTATGAGATTTGGATGTGCATCGTTTTTGCCTACATTGGAGTGAGTGTTGTCCTCTTCCTGGTCAGCCGCTTCAGCCCCTACGAATGGCACAGCGAAGAGTTTGAAGAAGGACGTGACCAGACAACCAGCGACCAGTCCAATGAGTTTGGGATCTTCAACAGCTTGTGGTTCTCCCTGGGAGCCTTTATGCAGCAAGGATGTGACATTTCCCCCAGGTCAGTCATCTCTCCTCCACCTCTTTAGTAGATGCCACATTTTTTCTTGGAAAGAGAAGATACTGGAAACTTCCAGAGCAGGATTTTTCTTTTCTTTTTTTTTTTTTAACAATTACTGCATTAACTGTTTAAACTGTGCTCTGAAGTACGCTGTTCATTGCATGCTGTCGATTATTTGGATTCATCCAGTGTCTGGCACAGCCGGCTGACGCATTTAAGATTAATAGACATATCTATGGCATTGATGTTCTGCAATGGGAAGGCACAAAGAAATTATGAGAGCCGTGTAGTGGAACTTTCACTAAGCCCTTTCCGTGCATTATCCCACTGCATCTTTCCAGTAACATATTTGAGCCTCACGTTGCAAAACATTTTTTTTTATAAATGAGGGTCCATGGAAATATGATTGAGTAGCTTGTCAACGTCACATGCTTACAGATAACTGAGGCAGTATTCAAACCACCAGCCTGCACTAATTCTGGCATGGTGAAAGAGCGCTGAGTTAGGCACCGTCAACTCCATCTCTATGCATCGCTCTGAGTTACTAATTTGAGACTGGTTTGTCAATCTATAAGAGACAAAGATTCTCCTTTTCTCTGTTCTAAGGTCAACCATAGAAGTAAAATTTTTACCTTGTAGTTCCATAGTGGGCTTTCTCAGTTATTGTCATTGAGAGAAGTATTAGAAGTGATCAGTAGGGCTTAAACCCCAACCTGAAATTAGAAAACTCACTTCCATTGAGTTGATTCCAACTCCTGGTGGACTAGGACAGAGTAGAACCTGCCCCCTCCCTCCAACTTTTGGGTTTTCAGGGCTGTAAATTCTTATAGCAGCCTGAAGCTCCATGTTTCTCCCACAAAGTACCTGGTGCATTTGACCTGATGACCTTGTGGTTATCAGCCCAATTCATAACCCACTACACCCCCAGAGACCCTTACATGCAACTAGAGTAACAGGTCTATGTTTATGCATTGTGTAAGTTGAACTAGTGAATAGGATTTCCTTTGAAAAATCATTTTGAAGCTAATAAGAAAGAAAGGAGGAAGATTAGAAAGAAGGAGGAAAAAGCAAATTTGAAACTTCCAGTCTAGGCTAATTCTCACATTTACTGGTCTGCTGTCTATATGGATAATGCTCTTTCTCCCACATTGTGTACTGTTCGTGCCACAATTCTTCCCCAATGAGCCTGATAAATAAGCCTGGCTGCCCTTCCTCCCACGGTGTCTAGTAGGTCTTCCCGTGCAGAGCACCGAGTCTTTAAAACATGCAGGACAAGTTTGCACACACCTACTGAGGATACATGTGTGAATACCAAGGCTTCCCAGACAGACACCAGTGGTATCCTTCTCACCGGTCCACTTTTTGCCCTGGAGGCCAGCGAGGATCAAAATTCCTCAGTGACCGTGGGTCATGTCTTCCAAACAAATTTTCCCCAGGAATCTTTTTGCCTGCTGTGTAATGTAGGAGGTTTCATTGTTCACCATAAAAATCGTGTTTATCTTTAAATTAGAGGACAGTTACAGGAGGGGGGAAGGGATGTGGGGGAGGAGGTGTCAGACTGGATGCTTGGCCAATACTGGCAAACACATGGTGAGGAGTAAAAAGAACCCAGCAGGGGATTGACTTGCTTAAAAATAAATCCAGCCAGTGGCTAAACCGTGGGAAGGGTATTGCTTAGCACTATCTGTGTGTGGGCTTGTTTTTCCTCCGGTCTTCATTTTGTCAGTGGGTATCTTCCTTCTTAAGGGCACCTTCATGCTCTGACCCCTCCTCTCCTCCAAAAGTCACAAACTATTCTAATGTCCCACAAGCTGAACCCTCTCCCAGACACGCTTCTATTTGAGCTGCACGGAGTTTGGCGATGAGTGTGCAAACCAGAGACAGCTGCCCTCTGTAGATAACACACGCATGTGACAGCCTCCACCTGAGAGTCCTCCTTCCGGTCTTAATTTAACTGCTCCCTGTGAAGGTATTCGAGTTTGGAACTTCTGGATGAAGGAGAATTTTCAAAGTGTGCTTCCTGGAATGCTGAGGATTCCATTAGCATGTCTTAGATCCTGCCACTGAGGTGAAGATGTGATTGAGTAGGAAGGTCCCTAGCCTCCCCCTCCCCCAGTTTTAACAGGCCAACTGCACCCTGTGCCTATTTTTTCCTTTAAATAGGTGCGATGAAAACAGTTCCTATACAGTCGCCTTATACAGTTGGCATGAGACTCGAGTCGCCTTATACAGTTGGCATGAGATCAATATATTTGGAACCCATAACAGAATGTCCAGCTAGCACATAGGAGGCACTAAAAAGCAAATAATAATTTTTATGATACTAAATTTATAGATTGGACTTGAAAGAAACTCATTAAAAGAAAACAGTACTCAAGCCTCTATGAAAGCTATTGATCTATCTGATTATCTTCTGGGGGAGTCCACAGGCAAAGCAGAATAACAAGAGATTCTCTCTGGAGGTCCAGACTCCTGGGCCGCTTACGCATAAGAACTGAGAAGAATGACTTGCCCACTTGAGAAAGGGTCTGGCAGATACAGGAGTGAGGTAGGCCAAGTGGGAAGGTTTATCCACTGGAGATGGCCTCTGCTTCACAAGGCCCACTCTCGCCCATCCCAGAGCTTAGGAGTCTGTATAAACCACATAAACAAAATGCTGTAAATAATTAAATTCACTGTCATCAAGTTGGTTCTATTTCACAGCAACCCTATATAGGCTTTTCAAGATGGCAAGTTGTTATGGAAGCCAACAGCCTCCTCGTTCTCCCACAGAGCAGTCGTGGGTGTGAGCTGCTGATCTGGAGATTACCAACCCATGCTTAACCCACTGCACTCCCGGGCCTTTATGTAGAAGCCCCACAGGATTCAGAATATGGGTCACAATGCTCTTAGAGATACATGCCAAAGATACTTCCTTCTACTCTTTCACTGCACAAGATTGTTAGGATGCTAAGACACCACCAGCCACCAAGTGTACATCAATAAAATTATTGTTTTGCAGCTTAAACATTTTCTGATGAAGTCGACTCAAAATTTTTGGGAAGCTCTGATCTGCACAGCCCTGTGTTACACACCATGGTTGCCATGGTGAAAGATACCTCTAAGGGGCTTGCATATGCCAAACATCCTTTAAAGAACATCCTTTCCAGTAAAAATCAATTCATTGCTCTTAAATAATATATTACTACCATTGCTAATTTAACATTTGGGGAATTAAGATCCACCTGAATTGCATATACCTGGAATCAGTTTAATGCCAGTGAGTTTTTGAGCATTCATGTATAAGCAGCAATATCTCTTTTTAATCTCTTCAAAGTTCCTGTCTCAAGCTAATGTCAACAAAATTTGGCCACTGTGGCTTTCTACAAGTAACAAAAAGATCTGACCACAGTAATGTTATCAAAGAGAGGCCTATTATAAGAAAAGTGATCTCGACATTGATGCACATTCATACAGAGAAATCAGGATTAGTAGTTTATGATGCTATTTGATCTTCTTCTCACATTCACAAGATAGCTGCTGCTCCCAGATACCAGGTCTGTGTTCAAGCATCAAGTAGAAAAAAAATGTGTTGTCAATCATTTCCAGGAAAATGATTAATTCAGGATAATAGAAACTTCAGAAGATATTCCCCACCCTATTCAGAGCTCTGCTTCTCTCACTGACCAGAACAGTGGACAATGGGCCTTCTAGATACAAGGGGAGACTGAGAAGAAGAAAAAAAAAATCTAGGTTTTCTAACCTCTAGAGTGGAGGGGGTGGAAATAGATGTTGGATAGATTAAGCAGCAGGATTGGCCACAGTGCTTGAAGTAAATGTTTTCTGTACCAACACTCTGAGCAGATAAAAATAATCTCTTATTAGCACATTTGTTGATATATGCAAGAAAATTCTACTGACATTCTTTGAAGATTCATCACCCCTCATTATCAAATGTTTATGTGAAAAATTAGTTTTGTAAGATCTATTTTAGTATTCAAATTAAAATTCAGTTTAACTATAATTACAGATTATTGTTTTGTGTTTGCTTTAGGGTGATGGTGAAATACAAATGTCATCCATGAATTGACTTGTTGGGCCTACTCCTTATGCCTAAAGACTTATTTTTTAAATAACTACTTTGGATTCATTTTTCCATACATAGGAACAGTTTGAGACTAGACTAGCAATGAACAGAAATCTTCATAGGAAAATTTGTTTTCACTTTTCCCAACGTTACTTTCTGTACCTTTCCCCCCTCCTTGTGACCAAGAGCATTCATTCAACAGCCATTACTGAGTGTAGGATATGGAAGTAGATGATGAGACTATGAAGATACAATAATGAGTGTAGCAAGGGGGAGGAAACGTTTGATTCGAAGAGCCTTCAATATAGTGATATGAGGCAGATGCTAAACAAGCAACCAGGAATGTATAAAATGTGATGTGCTATGAATAAAATAAGCCTGCTGTTGCAATTGACAATACAGGAAGTAGTAATTAAGGAACTTACGGTGTTCCAAAAAGGTTTCTCTTTGGAGCTGATGGCTAAGAAGGAGGTAGGCTTGTATAGGAGAGAGACACATAAATAGTTACGTGCAAAGGCCCTCAGGTAGAAAACAGCCAGCTTGTTTCAGGGACTGGGGAGCAGCCAGTGATTAGAAATGGTATAGAGAAGTAGGCAGAGACCAGGGCATGTAAGATCCTGTGGCTATGGTATAGATTTGAGGTTTTACTCTGAGCTCAATGAAAAGCCACTGGAAGTTTTAAGTAAGGGAAGAATTGATTCATGTGCTAAAATACCACTCAGGGAGCTATTAGGAGAATGAATTAGAGCAGGAGAGGTGAGATTTTACACTAAGCAAGAGGCTCTCACAGCACTCCAAGGGGGAAAAGATGGAACTTATAAAGATGGCCATGGAGATAGGTTTTTGCTCTAGTCTGAAACCAGAATTGATAGGATTTGTTAATGGATTGGATCTATGGGGATGAGGTGAGAGAGGATTTAAGGGTAAATCCAAG